TGAGTATCAATGGAGTTACGAGTGGCGTAGGTGGGGGAAAGGGTTTGGGGTGGGGTCGCCGGCATTGGCCTAAGCTTTGGCCGCCGGCAAGGGGGAGGGGGGAGGCTGGCTGACGGGAGGGGGCTGGTGGGCAGTTGAGGGTGGTGAGGCTGCAAAGGTGGAGGAAAGGGAGGGGGGAGGGTGGTTGGCTGGTTTTTTTTTTTTTTTTTTTTTTTTTTTTTTTTTTTTTTGTTAAATTGTACTTTTTTTTTTTTTTTTAATAAACTTAACGGAATCTTAACCCATTCCGTTAAGTGGTAGCAAATTTTAACAAATGTGTTTTTATGTGGTAGTAAAATAAAAAAAAAATTGAGCGGTACCAAAATTGAATAGGTGTTTTTGTGGTACCAAAAGTCAAAATTTCCTAAATTTTCATTGCCCCAATTTTCACTTTTTTGTGTTAACTAAATAAGAGGTTAAAATGAAATTCATGGAAATTTTGACTTCCCATAAAATATTTAGCCAACCAAACAAGGCCTTAATAAGTGAAAATTATTAAAAAAAAAATTAATAAGGTATTGTGATAGCTTTTTTGAACCAATTTAAACAAGTCGCACATGACTTTTTTTTTTTTTTTTTTATTTAAATATAAAGCACAATAGAGAGTCGAAGGTGAAAATACGAATAATTCTTTGTATAAAAGTCAAAAAATGAATAATGTAAAAATCAAACCAGATCAACTAAAGAAGAATAGATAAATATTTGACAAATTTTAGAAACGTAGAGATCTTCGTAGTACTTTTAATTTTTAAACACCAAAAATAATTAACTAAGGGCTGTAAGATAGATGGGCCAAATAGGTTGCACCACGGAGTAGAAGAAAAAGCCCATAACGCCAATCACGTGTATATTCACAAGATTAAACTACGATTTGTCAAGATTAAACTACGATTTGATCTTAAAGTCTTTGTATCTACTCCGTATTATTATTATTTTTTTTTATTTGACTTTTCACAGCTTTTAAGATTTGTTTTAAAACATATATGTAGTACTTTCTCCGTTTTTTTTTACTTGACCCATCTTGACTTTTACACTATTCACCACCCCTTCTTTTACCGTCTTTTATGAATAATATGTAAGGAATAATATATTCATATGGGATCCTTTTGAATTCATCTCAATAAGTGGTATCACAATATATAACTTTTATAATTTTTACTTACGGAGAATTAAAGTTGTTGATCCTTAAAGTTTTGTATTGACAAACGTGATGAAAGAATCAGGTCAAGTAAAAAAGAAGAGTGGAAGTTTATTTCTATTTCTATGCGTGTAGAAATTCTAAAAATTTGATATCAATATAATATACAATGAAACGAATTTAACAATATTGTATCTCTTATTAATTGATGATAATTAATGATCAAAATTTTAGTGCAAAAATTTAGGGACGGAAGGGAGTAGCAAGTAATCTTCGTGTACTTTAGTTAAAAAAAATAAAAATAACCCTCCCAGAATCTCAAGACTTCTTCGGTTTGTACTTCATTCCATTCATTTACTCCGTGTCTTAATTTAGTTCAACCCTATTTGATAATACTCCCACCATCCTACATTATAGTTTCCGTTTTCTTATTTTGAAGATCTAAAATGTTGTTCCTGTTTCTATTTTTAGGTAATATATAAAGACCATCATATCCTCATTTTTTAAACTTTATTCATTGTACTTTAGTTCAACACTATTTGATAATACTCTCTCCATCCTACATTATAATTCCCGTTTTCCTATTTTGAAGATCTAAAATGTTGTTCCTATTTCTACTTTTAAATAATATGTAAAGCCCATACCCTAATTTTTTAAACTTTATTCATTGTACTTTTTAAGTTACCCTGTAATTTTCCACTTTATTATGTACTTTTTTTTCCACTTTCTCTTTTGACTTTTGTTTATAATTGTACTTTTCACTTTTTTTTTTTTACTTTCTCCTCCCATTTCTTAACTATCTAAAAAAACACAAATAAGAACGGGACGGAGGGAGTAGCATTTTAGAAAGAGGTTAGTATTTTGATCATGTCAAGATAGTACATATTAATGTAAGTTGTTTCGACATTATAAATGATCTCATGATACTTTGATCAATCCAATTAATATCCTACTCTTATTATTATAGACCCAAAAACAAAAAATGTAAGTGCATTTATTTATCGAAGATTTTGTTTTAAATAGTGTTGATTGAAGATTTACAACAAATAATCAAGTGTGTTAATATATTATGATAGAGTAATAAAGTCTACTTCATCGCCGAAATTTCCTTTAGTTTCTCTCTCCTATTATTTTAATGTTGTTTGTATGGGGCATAGGGCTACCTTACCAAAAGATGCGATCGCGTAGTAAAGGATGTGTGAATGCCGATTTTCAAGCTTTGTTTGCTGCCTCAGATTTCTTTGAGATTTCAGACAATTTTTTAAACCTCTGGTACTTTTTCTCTCCTTTTTTTTTTTTTTTTTTCTTTTCTTTCATTTTTCATAATTTTATTTTTGGGTATTTTTTTAATATTATGTTGAGGATGTATAATTATCAACTACTCATATTATATTGGATTTTTTATTTATTTGTTGCTTTATTCAACAATGGAGGTCTGAAAATCGGCATTTGACTATAGTGTTGAAGAACAAGGGGAAAAAATTGTGATTTTTTTTGGTTTGAAGGATAAAATTGTGATTTTTTAATTTGAAGTAGAAAATTAGGTATTAGATTTTGGTATTTTCATCTGGGGTTTAGTTTTTTGATTGATTATTGTGATGAAATGACATTAATTGAATTTTAATTTAACTATTTAAGCCTGTTTCTGGAAATTTAGGATGCATAGCAATGTTTTGAAGTGTTGAAATGCTTGGGATTTGATTGGTTTTTGTTTAGTTGATATTTTTTATTTTTGACAACAGTCAGAAAAAGAGTTGCAGATGATATATGATGACAATAAGATAGCCTGAAAAGAGTTGCAGATGAGTAATTGACTAATTGCACATTTTATATATTTGGGAATGTGGGTTTTTAGTCCGTTGTAAAGTTGATGGTGGAAGTTGGAATTGTTCATAATTTTTTGACCCAGTATCATTGGCTTCTTTGTAGAATTAGAATAGTACTGTGTGGTCGAAACTACGGGAATGGTAATGAGTTTGTATGTTAGTGTAGTGTGTGTACAGAATATGTTATGTTTGCCATTATGCTAATGGATTTCGAGTACTGGGTGGCTATGCTTCTACTCTGTCGTGTGGCTGTTAGTGTTGACGAAAATTATGTAGGAAAGAGCTTTCTGGTAGTGTGGATACATTGTGTTTGCCTGTTGGGTACTCTAGGCCTCTAGCTAATGAGCATATTACCATTCCCTTTTCTGAATATTCTAAGAGTTGATCCATGTGGAATTAGTTATATAGGGAATGTAGCCTTGAATCTGGTAGTGAGGATGAATTGTGTTGGGTACTCTAGCTGATTAGCTCATTACCATTCCCTTGATTTATGAACATTCTACTATTTGATCTATAAGAGTTCAAGACACAATTCAAGGTTACATGTATTGTAGAGGGAATGAGGAATTGGTTATACTGGGAATGGATGAGTTGATGGTAATGTTAGAATATCTTATTTCACGGAGAAATTATGGAGTGAGGTCTTGAGGATGATTGGGCCAATCTATGGAAGTATGGTGATCTAATGGGTGAAGAAAATTTGTAGAGAGTGCACTCTTCATCTCAAATGAGATCTTGTTTTCTCATTTCAACATCACATACTTCTGAAATTGTGATGTGCTGATGTTTCCCCTCCCTCTGGTCTGACTAGATCCAAATGAAAGAATTGCAATTCATGAAATTGGTTTTGCGTAACATGAAGAATTGCAGTTCATGAATATGGATTTGCCTAACAGAATTGAATTAGGGACTATATGGATTTCATAGAATCAAGTTCTCATTCTTTATCTTTCTTTGGTGGGTGGTGATGGATAGGAGTCCATGTTTGTTTACTCATTTGCTTTACTTGACCACTTTATATGCTGTTTGCATGTCAGATTTGCATGGCCAATTCAGATGTTTCGAGAATCTTGTCAGCTGTCATATGGTGCATGGCTTATGTTCTTGTTGCAATTATCAGCTCTTTGCGTTCAATTAGTTTAATCTGCTTCTGCATTTCAAGTTGGTGAAGAAGTTTTAACACAATTCAGATTTGCTTTTTGCCTGGAGTTAACTGGTTAGTGAGCACGTCCAATGCTTGATCCATAATAGTACTCTCCATAATAATTCATAAGGTTTGATTTTTCATTTGAAAATGGACAGCACTGCTCATACTTCATACTTCAGACATACATCCTAAAACATACATTCTAAAGAACAAAATTTACTCATGTACATTGCTGAGGAAAACTTATACAGTTGTGCTGCTTCAGAATTTGAAATTTGAATGTGCTGTCAAATTAGCTAGCATAGAATTATAAATGCATGTGCTTACCTTGGATGAAATCCTAAAATGCATTATTGCTAAGCTTATGTTGTTTCTTTAGAGGATCTGCTAACTTCTAGGGTTAGTTGGTTGAGCCAAAGCTTATGCCTTATGCCTCATGTAGTAATGTAGTGGTAGCGTATGCAGTGCTTGGCTTCAAAGCCTAGATGCCACATTTCTTAGTTCTGAACTCTGTAGTCATGTGTTGAAGACCAAACTCTCAAGTCATTTCGTAGACCGACTTAAATAGCTGAATATAATCCGAATGGCATGCTTAAGACACATAGCCTTTACTCCCTGAGGCACCTAAGCTAGAAAAACTCATAGCCCTCATTAGCTCTAAGGAATGTGAACGAGTGAACGACTGCTCCTCTTACTAGCAGGTGCTCAGGCCATAATCTATGTATCTAGGATTCAAATGATTATTTATCTCTCTCTAGTGGCTATCAAAGCTAAAGAAACACTTGAAGAGTGTGATGGTCTATGGTCATCCATTAGTCCTTAACCTAGGGGGTTAATATCTGCTCTCATCTCATCTTCATCTCTAAAGCAGATAATCGAGGGGATAATTCCTCAGTTCATCTCACCATAATTTCACTCAAGTGATGACTTCTCTATGTAAAGACTGCAGGAGTGCAGGATCATCATGTTCATGATTATTCCATTAAAATGTGCCTTCACTTTTATCAGTATGTTTTTATTAAAGTATAACAGCATGAATTATGAAAAGATTTGTAACACACATCTTATCTTACAGATCTATAATGCATTCTGTGCATGCAGGAATACATGTGATTTAGATTTTTGATAAGCTACTGTAATCTCTAGCTAAAAGGATCGCCAACACTTTAAAAAATTATCAGATGCATTCTCCCGGTCTTGGTTGCCGACTTGCCGTATGTATGCCTTGGAAAGTAAGGTGTCAATAATGGCACCCTTTCATATTGTCTTCAGTTCTACTGAAGTAGTTGATGTTTTGAATTAGGTAATGGAAAGGTAAAGTGTGTATACATAAAAGAGATGATTATAATTCAAGTTCAAATTATCTGTTAATTATGCATTTGGAGCTAAATAGACGGCCTTGTGCATTTGGAGTATAGGAAATTTAATACCTATCTCCTGGTTCCTCTTTGCCCCTAGTTTCACTTTTGCATATCTTTTTAGTGGAAGTTGCATAGTTAACTTAATAGCTGGCATTGCAATGCATCTGATTACTGCATTTATATTTTGTTATTAAGGTTGGGTTTTCATATTTGTTTTGCAGCTATTACATTTGAAGGTTCAGAAATAAGATGCGATGATTGAGAGAGATATTTGATGCGAAGGATAAAGTACATACGTAACTGTCGAAAACCCATACAGATGCTTCTTTATAATATAGGAAAGTAAAAACTCTACTAAGTACTAACACAACAGAATATAATAGAGAAAGAATGGATTATACACAGCAAATTATAGTTTGGCATTTTACTCCGAATAAAAATTCATGAATCATGATATGATAGTGTTCCGGTACATGTATCAAAATCAATCAATCAGTCAATCAAAGTCTTAATCCCATAAGTGGAGTCCGGTACATGCTGTATGATTAATGATTTTCATTTACAGTTATATAAGCTGTATTCTTCCCAGTTAGTTCTTGATATGAATGACTTGTCTTCATTTCACATTAAGTTGCTTAGCAGTAGTCTTAAAACCCTTCACAGTCCACAGCAACCACAGTCCACACATCAATAACCGTTACAAGAGTGACCGTGAATTGAGAAAAGGTCTGTTGTATGCCTCGGAACCATTACTGCCAATGCCTCGGATGGTAATATTGATTGAGCTATGCGGTGTGCGGCTCCTCAATTTTCATACACTATATTCTTCAATTATAAAATTTTAGGTACACAATAGCTTTCTTTAAGCTTGAACTGTTATTACTTATTACCCTGTATAAAGTATATCGTTTTCTTCATCCATGAGCCATAAATCTGTGTTTGCTGTAAATAGATCTGATTATCTGAAGGGTTTTTTTTTATGAAGTGAAATTCTGCCATTTAGATATGACTGCTAATACAGTAGACTGAAACCACCGAATCCTTGTTTACAAAAATGGAAAATAAATGTTGAATTAAGAGGATATAAAAATGTTAGTTGCTCATCACAAGTCTTTTTCTTTGTATTTATAAAACTATGGTCGTTGAATTTGTTCATTAACCAATTTGATGCCTTTTTAAACAATGAATTAATTGTTCAAAACCAAGATGATTACTTGTCCAAATCATACTCCAATATTAAATTGCTCGATCTTCACTAAAAATGATCAAGTTGAATTATACAACTAGCTTGTCATGATATGCTGCCGCGGAATTGATGTTAACATTCCAATAGTTTAACACTATGCCCCAAAAATATTTGAACCTATGCATAAAAAAAAAAAACAAATGATGTATTATTCAAGTTTCATAGTTTGATTTAAATAGTAATTAGGGATGAATGCCAAAAATAACATTCAATTTCAAATTAAAATAAGAAAATTAACAAACAAAAAATAAATTAAAGACTGACTCCATTTAATCCACCTGCTAATTTGTATCTTATAATTTGGAAGGCATCATAAACTTGCCATTATATTAACTAAACTGAAAATCAATCATATAATTTCATCTAAAAAAAATGGGTGAAGAGAAAATTATGAAAGAAACCTTTTTCATAACCCATGGAAACCCATTGTTAATAACAGATGAACTACACCCTTTAGACCACTCTCAATGGTGAGCAAAAAAAATGCTCACCCACTCTCTCTCTACCCACTTTCTCTCTCAACAAATCTGTTTTATTCATGGACAAATTTTTTTCACAATTTCTCTCCCAATGGTGAGCAAAAAAAATGCTCACCCACCACTCTCTCTCTCTTACTTTTTCAATACCCCACCATTGCTTTCTCTCTCCTACACAACACTTCTTTATTTATTTATTTCATTTATATTTTAACAATATTACTCCAAAAAAAAAACTAGTTTAAATTTGGTTAATTTGTTTTTTTTATTTGTATCCTTTTAATCGTTAAAATTTGTCGTTAAATTAAGTACGTTATATGAAATAATTGTAAAAAAAAGCTCAAAATTTCTTAAATATTTTTATTTATTTTAAAAAGCGGTACAACACTAGAAACCAGTAACATTTGCAACGTCATGCGTAATTAAACTTAAGAAATAAAATAAACAAAACTATTAAAAAATAACTCGACTGCGTACGGAAAAGTAGCTACGCCATAGTACTTGGCTTTATTAAAGTCGTGCTAATTTCTCCCTAATTACGTGCCCGTATCGTAGCCAAATATGTTCGACTAAATCACGTTTCAGAGATAGATGATTTTTTCTGTCACGGAGGGAAGCTTTTCGCTGTAGAAATGCGTTGAAGTCAAAGTTGGTAGGTCGGCCTACGTTGAATTCAAACGGTGGCGTTGTAGATGTTGATGCTGGTGTTAATTCTTGTTGATCTTCTTCGTAGAAGGCTCTTAGAACTTCGGCTCGAGTGTAGTTGTGGCGCTCATCTTCAACAATCATGTTGTGCATAATGATACATGCTTTCATTATGTCTCGCAATATGTCCTCATCGTACGCCAGTGACGGTTTTCGTATTATTGCAAATCGAGCTTGCAAAACACCAAATGCTCTTTCAACGTCCTTTCGAGCAGCAGCTTGGTGGTCAGCGAACATTTTATCTTTCTGAAGTTGAGGGGTTGTGATACCCTGAACAAAAGTTGCCCACTTCGGATAAATACCGTCGGCTAAGTAATATGCCATGTTGTATTCATGGCCGTTAACTGTAAAATTTACCGGAGGAGCTCGACCATGCAGAACCTCATCGAACACTGGGGAACGGTATAAGACATTAAGGTCATTACAAGATTCAGGAATAACAAAGAAGGAATGCCATATCCATAAATCCTGATCTGCAACGGCTTCCAGTATCAGCATTGCTTTCTTGTTCCTACCGGCGTATTGCGCTTTCCAAGCCGTTGGGCTGTTCTTCCATTCCCAATGCATGCAATCAGTGCTGCCTATCATGCCTGGAAAACCACGCAGTTCATTTTGATGCAGTATTCTGGCCAATTCATCAGTTGTAGGGTTTCGCATGTACTCGGTTCCGAACTGATCAATGACCCCGGTACAAAAACGTTGAAGGGCAACTCGAGCGGTTGACTCACTGATTCGAACGTATTCATCCACGGCGTCCGCAGCCATGCCGTAGCCTAACATTCTTATCGCCGCTGTACATTTTTGCAGTGGTGATAAACCTAACCTTCCAGCTGCATCCCTACGCTGCTGGAAGTAAACATCACCTTCAACGACCTTGTTCATTATACGTACAAACAAAGGTCGTTGCATACAAAATCTTCTTCTAAATTGGGTGGTGTTGTACACAGGATTATCGAAAAAGTAATCATTAAACAACCTAGCATGTCCAATTTCCCTATCTCTTCTATTCGTACCCCCTCTAGGTTTTTTTGAAGTGTGTTGGGATTGTGTTTGGGGAATGAGGACAGATGGGGGTTGGTGTGTGAAGAGTTCATCAACAAGTTGATCATATTCTTCAGTATTTGAAGAAGATGAACTTGAACTTGAGCTTGATGATGGTCTAGAATACATCACGTATTAATATTGTTACTTGATGAATTGGTGTGGTTGTGGATATGTGCCATGCCTACTATATATAGCAAAAATATCAAATAAATATGTGGTTACAAATCTGAATGACCACACCAAGTACAGGAATCAAATTTTCAACCACTGAATAGGTATACTATGCTAGTTGACAGTGACAAGTCTTGAGTGCAATTATGTCGGTATCAATGACACAAAGGTAAAGCATTCTGATAAAGTGAATATAGGAAAACGTGGCTATACAATGACAAAGATTTATTGTAATTATGTCGGTATCAATGACACAAAGTTAAAGCATTCTGATAAAGTGAAATCAGAAAAATGTGACTACACAGTGATAAAGAATTAAAGCAATTATGTCGGTATGAATGACAACTTAAGTCAACTTGTTAAACAACTTGTCATTCAATATTGGAAAATCAGAATACAAGTGTACATCTTACATTGCAATTAACCACACCACTAATACAACTTAAAAATAAAAGACTAAATAACTTATCTAATACAAGCGTAGACCTACTACAACCAAACATGCTTAAAAGCCTTGTAATTTACCCAGTAAAAAAATTCTTGTACGACTCTTCTTCAGGAGTGAGTGGCGTAGGCGGATTCTTCAGAGCTTGCACCATATCAAACCAGGTTTTCATCTTATGAATGTCAAGTTCCTCCCTTTTCCTCTGTTCCTTGTCCTTTTCAATTTTGATCCTCTCTTCCTTCAGAATGGCCTCCCTCTCGCGAATTGTAGCAAATTCCTTCATTCGTTCGCTAAGCTCAGACGAACCACTTTCTGTTGCTACTGTTTTCCCTTTACGCTTCGCCTTTGCTTTCTTGACACCCTCGGGTCGTTGTAAACCGCCAGATGAAAAACCATCCGGAGGGGTTTCATCCCCTACATCATCTCTGGACCTCTTCCCACTTCCAGCACTACCTTGCTCCTTAGCATCACAAGCGGCTTTTCTTTCCTTCAATGACATTGACCATCTCAGCTTTGGCCTCCACTTTGGATCCTTATTAAGCATTTCAGTTGCGTGAGGAAAAGTGAAATTGCGACCTTGGGCGAGATGGAAAAGCTTCGCCGCACTTTTCATACGGCCAGCTTCACTGTAACCACTCCCTCCCTCTGGAAGTCTACCTGCTTCATCATAGCAAGATATCCACTGCAGTGTGTCCGCTGCCAACCTTCTCCAGTGCGACGTCAGACTCTTAATAGGTCTTGGCGGAATTATATGCAGCTTCTGCGTATGCAAAGTTTGATATGCTGCGTGTACATTGCGCCATAGGCAAGTTGCTTTCTGGCTTGTACTTTTAATAGCATCCTCGCTAATCTGCAAGTACAAACCCAATTAGAGCTTCATCTTCCGCAACAGACCAAATACGGGTCGCTCGTGCAGGAACCTGGTTGGGTTCCAGTATGCGAACTGGTGGAGGATACTGCGGCGTCTCTGGTACGCTTTCCTCTTCGCTCTCATCGAATTGTGTGTTACTATCATGATCAGTTGCAGGTGTACGATCTTCATTAGCAGGGTTTTGTAGGGGAAACTCAGTGGGGGTCTGATGCAGTGGAGGTGGTTTCGAAGACGTATTGCCCATTCTTTGCAAGAACAATTGAAACTCGGGATTAGTTAGGAAATCATCACTAAAACCCGAAATTGTTGACGGAAATTTGGGTTGTTTGAATCGATTAAAAGATTCTGCATCAAAAAACAAAAGATAAATATCGTTACAAACATTTACTCAAAAAACAAATTAAAATGACAACAAATCCAAAAAAATATCAACAACTTTCTTCAATTGCATAATGCAATTACATTACATGCCATACAATATATTTTTTTTCTCACAAAATAACATATCTACTAATTTTAACACATAACTACATGTACATATTTAAAAAAATAATTAGCCAACAATTGCAACACTTTAATAACTATAAATTTAGTAATTTATTGAGAAAATATACACAACTTTGTTTAATTACATAATGCAATATAATTTCGTGGCCTATAATATTGATTTTTTTTTCAAAAAAATCACATATATACTAATTTTATTACATAACTACATTTATATATAAAAAAAATTAACCAATAATTGCAACACTTTAATAACTACAAATTTAGTAATTTATGGAGAAAATATACACAACTTTGTTTAATTACATAATGCAATATAATTTCGTGTATCACAATTTTTTTTTTCATAAAATCACATATATACTAATTTTATTACGTAACTACATTTATATATAGCTAAAAAATTAACCAATAATTGCAACACTTTAATAACTACAAATTTAGAAATTTATGGAGAAAATATACACAACTTTGTTCAATTACATATTGCAATATAATTACATGGCCTACAATTTTATTTTATTTTTCAAAAAATCACATATATACTAATTATATTATATAATTGATTTTAAAAATTAATTTTTTTTTTTACCTGAATATGGGTGAATTGCAACAACAATATTCTTCTACAAATTTAAAATACTTTTAAGAAAATTAAAATGTGGAGGATTTAAAGTGTTTACGAAATTATATCAAAATATATCAAAATGCATGTCTATTTATAGAGAATTTAATTTTATGGCCGTTGGTAATTTTTTTTTTTTTTTACAAAATAAATTTTTCAGAAAATAGATTACAAATATATAACCGTTGTAAACGGCTATAATTTTCTGATTGGCTAGGAAGCTGCACATGCCACGTGTCATCTCCTCACTCGCCACTCCGCTGTCACGCGTTAGAAGCTCAACATTTTTTTAAAAAAAATCTGCAATCTCAAAACGACGCGTTTTGAGGCGCGCCTTTGAGGCTACTTCATCAAAACGCGCCGTTTTGATTGTTTTGGACCGAAATTTTTTAAAGTGGGTCTGCCTGTTGTGGGGCCCACAAGGGTTACTGTTCATCAATAAAAATGCTCAAGTTTTGAGCTTTTTTGGTTTTGCTCATGGGCTTTTTTTTGGATTTCACCAATTTCTCAACATTGTGGTTGGTGATCATTTTTTTCCTCACTAAAAATGTCCATGAGCAAAAAAAATGATCACCATTGCTAGTGCTCTTACATCCATTTTTCAAAAAATTGGAAAGAGAAAGTGTATTCCAAAAAACCCAAGGCTATTCTTGTCATTTCAGCTCACTGGTTAACTGATCATCCTATTGGTAATTCTGTAATTCTCAATGATACTATCTATGAATATGGAGGCATTACTTACCCTGCTCCCTTATACCAGGTCTTTCTCAATTCTCTATTTTTCCTTTTGTGTTTTATTTTTCTCTATTTTGGATAATAGAGTGAAACTATTAATTACTAGTTGACTAGATGCCAAACTAGCTAATGAAACTGGTAAAGTTGTTAAGAATATATGACATATGATCAAATCTCGTCTGTGTCACTACTTTTCGCTCCCTAAAGGGACTATACAACCAAGAAAATTTATCTTTCTAGCTAATGATGGACTAAACTCATCTCAAAGGTAAAATGGTTGAATATTATGTGAATCTAACATGAAAAAAACTTATGTTACAAGCTTATATAGGCAACTTTAAAATATTTGTAACAAGATAACAATGCTCTTCATTGTTCTTTATAACCCAAGTTATATTGTAAGGAAATTAACATAGCTCTTTATTCAATTACCAGTTGAAGTACCCGGCTCCAGGAGCTCCAAATTTAGCAGCAAAGGTGCAGGAACTTCTAACCAAATCAGGGTTCAAATCTGTGCACATTGACAAACAACGTGGGCTCGATCATGCAACAGGGGCACCTCTCATGCTGATGTACCCTGAGGCTGACATCCCTGTATGTGAGCTCTCAGTACAGCCGCGCTTGGATGCAACACACCACTTCAACTTGGGACGAGCATTGGCTCCTCTCAAGGATGATGGTGTACTCATCATTGGGTCTGGGAGCGCGACACACCCTGCATATGATGCACCTCATTATGATGAAGTTGCTCCTTGGGCTACAGAGTTTGATTCATGGCTTGAAACAACTCTAATAAATGGAAAGTACAATGAAGTGAATGAATACGAAACTAAAGCGCCAAATTGGAAATTAGCACATCCAATGCCGGAACATTTTTATCCATTACATGTTGCAATTGGAGCTGCTGGTGAAGATTGTAAGGCAGAGCTTATTCATAGCAGTTGGTTTTCTGATAATTCCTTGAAACATGGCTCCTACAAGTTCACTTCCATTTAACTTTCATTGTAACTTTTTTTTTGGGCTATTTCCTTCAATGTTGAAAAATATTAACATGAGTGCATGATTTTGCTCCAATGTAAAATTATGCACATTGTTGGACATGCAAGAAATTTATGTGCATTTCTTATTTTCTTTTATCGATGCATGAAGAGAATAATTCCTTTCAATACAAAGTCTATAATTAATCCATACCCATATCATCATTAGTGTTTCAGAGGTACTAAAAGCCCAATCTTGAGTAATCTATTTGTTGTTTTGAGTGACCCATTATGAAATCTCACATTACACAACATAGTTTTCCTCAAGGTTAATAAAACTACTCTCTTGCATTACAGTGGACGTACTTACTGAGCTACAACACTAACTTAATAATGTGATTGAACTTGGTGAGATTTGACCCTGACCTCATGCGGTCGTGCCTATTAGTTAAAGAGCTAGCCTTATATCACATATATTACATTCAATAATTGTTCAATTTTTAAAATACCTAAAACCAACAATTATTTGGTCAACTTTAAATCGGAAAGTATTACAATATTATAGTTTAGCTGTCATAATCACACTTCAATATTCTACAGCTCATTATCTAGAGTACTGACTCCATGAAATAAGCCACTAGAGAAGTGATGTCAACAATCCAACAATTCATAACACATGGTTGCATAAACTGGAAAGATGGGTGAAGAAGAAAAGATCAAAGAAACGTTCTTCATAACACATGGTTGCCCAAAGTTGATTATAGAGGAGGCACATCCACTACATTCATTCTTTAAAAGTTGGAAAGAAAAAGTCTATTCTAAGAAGCCTAAGGGTATTTTGGTCATTTCATCTCACTGGATAACTGATCAACCTGCTGTAAATTCTGTTAATCTCAATGATACTATCTATGATTATGAAGGTGTTACTTACCCTGCTTCCTTGTACCAGGTCATTTTTCTCACCCCTCTTTTCGGTATCTGTATTTGTTTTTCAATTTATTGTTATGTGGATGTCACCTTACTTAATTGGTAAAGTTAGATAAAAGTCAAAGCTTAGGTAGTCTGTAGGAAGTAGACCATGTCTATGTATAATCCTATATCACTATCCGTTCCTCTTTATAATGTTCTTGGACTACATACATGATTTTTAGGCTTAGCATTGGTACATCGTGATTTAGAGGGTTTGTTCTCATTTTAAGTCAAGTCAACCTTTATAAGCAATAAATCTCTGTTACTCACTGTGAGAAATGTTTTTGTTTCTCACAGTGGCACTTTCGTAAATAAAATGTACTACCGTGACTAAAGTGGTACAATTTTATCATCCATTTCGTAAATAAAATGTACCACCGTGACTAAAGTGGTACATTTTATTTACAAAACTGCCACAGTGAGTAATGGGGGCGCCGTCGTCCTGGGAAGACTAGGACAAGAAGAGAATTTAGGAACATTAACTTAATTGGTGAAATTCAACCCTTGCTAACTTCACACTTGAAAGTCGGAGAACTAGCCAAATGTCTATCCTGGCCTCTTTTCAGTTCAACTATGATTGGTGTGATAGTTTACATCAATGATCAAATTTGTTTTGTACTGTGAATTTATTATAATGTAGTTTATTATACTGAACTGAAAGATTAATGATGTCACCAAAGTATATAGGAAGCATAACATAGTTGTTGCTAATTTGATTAAAAACCAGGTAAAGTACCCTGCTCCTGGGGCACCAAAATTGGCAAAAAAGGTAGAGAAACTTCTCAATGAATCCGGGTTCAAATCCGTGTACATTGACAAAAAACGCGGTCTTGGTCATGCAACCTGGGTACCTCTCTTGCTGATGTATCCTGAAGCTGACATCCCTGTATGTGAGCTCTCAATTCAACCACACTTTGATGGAATGCACCACTACAACTTAGGACGAGCATTAGCTCCTCTCAAAGACGACGGTGTACTCATCATTGGTTCCGGTAGTGCAACACATCCTTCATGGGATACCACTCACGATGGTGATGGAGTTGCTCCATGGGCTGCAGAGTTTGATTCTTGGCTTGATACTGCTCTAATTAGTGGAAGGTAACTTTAATATTTTAGAGTTATAAGTTTAATATCAATATGTGCAAAATTATGTAGTTTTAGCTTACCTAGTGTACAATTTATGATATCTTGTTGCTTAATAAGCTTATACAATATGGAGTAACTTATGTGATGCATATATTATGGTGTTATGATTGAGTTGTTGTTATTAAGACATAGGCAGTATAAAAATAAAAGTTACTTGTATCTTTTAACGTTTTAGTTATGGTTTGAACTATGATTTTAAGGTATGAAGAAGTGAATGAATGTGAGACGAAAGCACCAAACTGGAAACTAGCACATCCAATGCCGGATCACTTTTATCCATTGCACGTCGCCATTGGTGCTGCTGGAGAAGATTGTAAGGCAGAGCTTGTACATAGCAGTTGGTACTCTGGTGTCTTGACTAATGGTGTCTTGTCTAGTGGTACCTTGAAACATGGCTCCTACAAATTCACTTCCAGCTAAATGTATGACATGTAATTATAACATCGTTTTAATTTGCTGTTGTTTTCTTCAATATATGTAATGAATAAATTGCTTATCATTGCATGCTACAATATATTGAACTGTTAGCAATACATCTCACTTGTTTGAGACAAAATTAAACTTAATCTTAATTGTTAGGTACTCGGGTTTAAGGTATTTGATAATCAATCATTAAGTATCATAATCAATCATTAAGTATCCATTAGTTTTGATGGAAAACATCTTTCTTAGAAAATCACTTTCTAAAGAAAACAAATTTTAATGGTTACGTATAATTCGAAAGGAGAGGTGGGGCTACAAATGTTAACAATGACATTGGCCCGACGCAACTTTGTAAAATTGGCCCCCTAAATCATCATTAAAGATTTTAACAAAATTGTTTTACAAAATCATCAAATTTATGATAAAATTGAAGATAGATGATTAATCAACAAGTTTTCTCTTTATTTCGTATTAGTAAATATCAAATTTGGGGCCTCTTTCAAGTCATGTGCGATAAACCACCCTGCACGTGTTCAGAATCACCCTTATTCGAAATATAACAATAGATCATGAGTTATATGAGAAGTGTCACTCCATATTATTGAATGTTTGAATGACCTCAATTCGATTTGAAGTAAAAATATTACCAAGTGAGTAAAACTTTAATTGATAATTTTAACAATTGTTAGATGGGTTGACTATTACGCGTCGTGAATGAGTTAAGCCTTTATTTGAGAAACTCATAAAAACATCATTAAACTCAAATTTCTACTCCGTATCAAACTTAGTAAGACGTTATATTAAAGGCTTAAAAATATTACGAAGTACTTTGTTTATTTACATGTTACCATCTTATGTTAAAGGCTTAAAAATATTACCATCTTATACCGTGAGTGTGTGACCATTTTTTTAGTGCTCTTTACAAGTTTATAAACTTTAAATAGAGTAGTATACAATATAGAGTTACCCAATTCATTTAATGCACGGTTGTCAATATAAAACTACTAAACCAGTCATTCAGTCAATTACTTAAAAAAAAAACAATCAATAAAATTGGGGCTTGAAAAAGACCTAATTTTAACCCATGCAATCCCGTTTAACGGCCCTCTCAAAACTCCCGCCGACGACGAAGACGACCTCCATCCTCTGCAACAATGGCGTCCAGGTACACTTTCTCTCTCCTCCATCTCCTTCTCCATCTCCATCCCCTTCTCACACTCCTCCATTACACTTTCTCTCTCCCCTCAACAGGCGTCTTCGAGCATTCAAGCGCTGGATGACCTCAAACAGCATTCAATTCAGCGACGCCCTTGAATTTCTCGACACTGAAACCACCGGAATCTGCGTCAAATCAAAATCCGAACTCAAAGAAGGAGACCTCATTGCTACAATCCCTAAGAATGCTTGCTTAACGATTCGAACTTCCTCCGCTTCGCCGATTATTGAAGACGCTGATTTTGATGGGTGTTTAGGGCTTTGTGTTGCGGTTATGTATGAGAGAAGCTTGGGTTCGAACTCTAATTGGGATGGTTACCTTCAATTGTTGCCTAAGTTTGAACCGTTGCCATTGGTTTGGAGTTTGGATGATATTGGTCGTCTTCTTTCTGGTACTGAACTTCATAAGGTCCTCTTTCTCTCTCCCCTATTCTTAGTTTGTTTCATTTCTTAATTTATTGGTTTTCGGTGTTTAATTTATTACAATGGTTATAATTTATGTTTCAGTTTTTAATTTGTTTCAGAAATGTAGTATGTTGGCAATGTAAATGTGTTACGATTAATTAGAGGTATCTGTGTCGTTCTCCAAGACTTTAACCTACTAAGCGAGTTATCATGGCTCATTTTTTTTTTTTTTTTTTTTTTTTTAATCAGCTGTGTTTGCTTTGTTTTTGGGGTTTGTCTAATTTGAGCAGATATTGATTTTAAGTTGGTTGTTGTTTAGGTAATTGACTTACATTATCAAATTGTGTTGAATTTATGTCTTTAATGTGTAATGTATTCAGGACTTTTCTTGAGCTGGCTTTGGTTTTTATAATTGTGTTACTGTCTGAAATAGGTAGTTTTAAAGAACCTGTGATGGTTTTGTGTTTGAGTATGTGAATTTTGATGTTTGAATGGAGAAAACAAGGAAATAAGAAACAGGAATTGTTTAATATAAAGCTAATTACTTAAATTCAGCTTCTTTTAGAGATTCTTTGGGAAAGCTCATTGTTAAATAGCAAAAAATTCATAATTTGAGCTTCTAGTGATAATTTCGACTGTTTTCTTTACTTACGTGAAGCTTTGCTTCAGATAGATTATTTCTGCTTAACACAATCTAGTTGAAGTTCTTGGTTTGTCTTTCTAAATGTGTCTATTATTGTTTGAAGATGGCGTATTTTCTGTTTGTGATGATTTTTGTCACATGTAGGCAGACAATGAAAGAAGACAAGGCTCTTGTCTATGAGGACTGGAAAGAATGCATTCTACCTCTAATTCACTCAGAAAAATTTGTTATTGATTCAAGTTTTTTTGGTGTTGAAGATTACTTTGCTGCAAAAAGTCTTGTTGCATCTCGATCCTTTCAAATAGATGATTACCATGGTGCTGGTATGGTTCCTTTAGCAGATCTGTAAGTTATGCACTTCTTCTTCCCTCAATGAATGATTGATTCTAACATATTGCAGATATCTAAATTGAGTGACAATGGAGAGTTGTTTAAATTATTGCGAAATCCATGATAACATTTTGCTTCACTTGCTTGCTAATCAAATTCACTCATTCATCCACCTTCTCTCATTTTCTATCACAATCACTTGACAAGTTGACATGTATACAAGAAATTTAGATGTTTGTAACTTTTAATGATTTAAGAATGCAAAATTTCCTCCTGATAAATAGTTTTAATCACAAGACTGGAGCTGAGGATGTGCACTTCACCACTGCATTGTTACCTGATGAATCTGATGACAGCGTTGCGAGTGTGACTGATGATGATGAGATTGATAGCAGTGATGAAATCTCAACTGGGCTATCTTCGTCTAAAGAGAATGGCTTGTCAGGTGCCTCAGTGGTTCAGAGTTCTTCAGATGGTCCTAAATTAGATTCTGAAGAGACAGTAGACAATCCCTTGGTATTAGAAATGATTCTTGTGAAAGATGTCAAAGCTGGTTCAGAGGTTAGCATCTTGTACAGTATATCTTTCACTAGATAATGCATTTCCATCTGGATTACCCACCCCATCCCCCCCACCCACCCCCCCCCCCTCCCCCCTCTTGAATGTGTGGCAATATCCTTGTCAATGGGTGAGTTATGAAGGGTAGAAGTTTTAAGAAACCATTATAGATTTATGGATGCAAACATGGGTTTCCTCTCTGACTTCTCTTAATTTTCCAGGTCTTTAACACGTATGGGTATGTGGGCAATGCCGCGTTGCTGCATAGATATGGATTTACAGAACTAGATAATCCTTTTGACATTATCAATATTGACTTAGAACTTGTGCTTCAATGGAGTTCATCTCTCTTTTCTGGTCGTCACAGCAGAGCAAGACTGTCTTTATGGAGAAAGCTGGGGTACTCCGGCTGTGAAAGCCAGAACTCAGAATACTTTGAGATCTCATATGAAGGGGAACCCCAACTTGAGCTATTAATTTTGCTTTATATAGTCTTATTGCCTGAAGAAACATATACTAAGTTGGATCTCACCTTAGCCTCAAAAGGAAATCCCAGCGAGTCTAATCATTTAAATACATCCAAGGCAGGAACAATTTTGCAGGGGAAAATATCTGAAATGAGTACTGATATGTTATTGACAAAGAGTGTCCGCAAGGCTCTAATATCCCTTGCTGATATAAGAGAGGGCTTGTATGGCACAAGCTCATTGGAACATGATATGGAGAGCTTAAGTAAATGTGACTGTAGTACAGAAAGGAAGTTGTACCATTCATTGGTCCTTCGTGTTAGTGAAAGAAGGATCATACAAAAGCTTAGGAATTATGCTGAAGCAGGTGCTAAGTTGCTTGGCAAGGCCCCAAGGCTGCATTTGAGGAAGAAATTGAAATCATGATATGGTTCACTAATCTTGGGTGAAGAATGGTGTTTTTTGTGGTCATTTAGAGTTGCGTAAATTGGAGAAAAGGTTTTCCTAAATTCATTGTTTGATTGATTCTGATATCAGCTAGGTAAGCATTCTTTTTGTGCAAGGGTTTGATAATGATGGTGAACGGTTACCCAAACTTAGAGGAAGCATGATGCAAAGCCAAGTAATTGCCCTGGCAAATTTTGTGGACACACAAATGATGAAATTTTGAGCCTTGTGCGACTCCTATCTTCGATGGTTGAACTAATCCGGTGATCCTGATGTGTATTGATTTCAGATATTTCATTTTGCTCGATTAATATCAGCAGCCCGGTTAATTTTGTATGTTCTCTGTTTTTCACTCCATGCTTTGTGTATTACTTATTTGTTCAGATTATATTTGCTAGTTTTATTTTTTCTTCCTGTTAGAAGGAAACTGTTTCATGTTGAAAATGGTTGGTTAATTATTTTAATTATGAAATAATAGATTTGATTTCCTGTCACACCATCCTTTTCTTATCTCTCTCAAATTTTTTTTATTTACCTTCTAAATTCTTTGTCCAGTCCTTTGTATATTAAGAGGCTATTCCAAACTTAATTGTGCCATCAAAAAATCTATCTTGAAAAATCAATATGGAATAAGAATAATATTGCCTCCATTTTTTTATTTTCTGTTTTCTTCATTTATTGGATATTCATAAACCAAGGAAACTTTAAAGATAAGTAAGTGTATGAAAAAAAAAAATGTATATATAAAAAACCTTGTATATATACAAGTATGATATATAAGTAAAAGAAAAATAAATATTTTATATTTAACACGAACATTGATCAATATACCATCGATTGACGAGTAATTTTGTTATAAGTTTCTAAAATAATAATGCTTGTTATCCTGCATACGAAGTATATCATAGACCCATAAGTTCATAACCCATACAAATTTGGATTATTGGTGGACTTTTGAATGCTTTGTTGGCAAATACTTAGTCACTTATAATAATAGCGTAAGATCATTTTCAACAGGATTTTATAATAAATAAATGATGATCTTCTAAGTTCTAACATGTTCCTCCTCTTATGCCATAAATTCCAACAACCACCATATATTCTTAAAATTCCTTCATTCTACAGTTCCACAAATCAAAAGAAAAAACTTCACCATAATTCTTGATTAATTCCAAATTGAAAGAAATGGGTGGAGAAGAAAGCATCAAAGAAACGTTTTTTATATCTCATGGAACTCCAATGATGACTATTGAAGAGTCAAAACCTTCAAGGAAATTCCTAGAAAGTTGGAGAGAGAAAGTGTATTCCAAGAAACCAAAGACTATTTTGGTAATTTCAGCTCACTGGGAAACTGATGAACCTGCTGTTAATTCTGTGGACGTCAATGTTACCATCTATGATTTCTATGGCTTCCCTGCTCGCATGTATCAGGTTTTTTTTTTCTCCTCCCTTTTTTTTTATAGTTGGATATTTATTTATTTATTTTTTTTTCCTTTTTTGGGGTTTTAATATCTGGGTAATTAACTTATTACTGGTATTATGTTTGTAGTTGGAATATTATTTATTTATCTCTATGAAAGGAATAATTTTTCATTTTACATTGAATGTTGTTTGGGTTATTGAAATGTGTGACTTACTGAAATTTTGGGAAAAAGATTGGAGAATGCAATTATCTGGGTAGTTATAAATGGAATTTGTCAAAGATGAGGACCTCAAATTAGAGTTTTATCCGTTTGTAGTAACTTCTACAAGGGTATCATTCAACTGTTTTTAGTAGGATATTTGACAGAAAAATGCATTTCTGAATGGATAAAAGATCAATGAAACGTTATTAACTTATTATTATGTATGGTAAGAAACTAAGAATCAAATATCCCTACGGAAATTATTGTAATTTCCGCTTTATTGATCCTCTAATATGGGCTATTAGCATTTACTCGTACGATTTATCAACCGGTTGTACAATAGAATTTACCAGGTAAATGTTGCGAATGATTTATATGATAATTTAGTTTAATGCTAGTTAGTAATTAGCGTTGATCACTTATTTGTATACGAATGTCCCTAACTAGTCAAGAAAATCCGAATAACTCCTGTATATTCGTTAGGGATATTGTAAAGATTTCCCCTAGCTAACTTTTGTTGTAGTTTTCATGAAAGGTAAAGCCAATGTATGATTGTATGGTCAACGATCAGATCTCAAATGGGAATGACAATTATGTAGTGATGAAAACTGTCTTGTCCGCGTACGGCATACTATTAGGCTTAAGAGTTATGAGCATGAGATATTTACATATCATTCTGAAATGGAGTGGTTCATCTTTTAAATTCCACTTGTTAGTATGCACTCAAATGTCCGCGTATGCACTTGAATCAGATTAAAATCATGAACAGAGAGATGATACAACTGCACTTTAGGGTGAAAAGTTTTATTTAAGCGATATTTTACTAAACATATAAGTTACAGAGTGAAGAAGGATTAAAATGATAACATACCTTTCATTTGGTTAACAGTTCAAGTATCCAGCTCCAGGGTCTCTGGGTTTGGCAAAGAGGGTACAAGAACTTCTTACTACGTCAGGGTTCAAAACTGTACACATTGACAAGAAACGTGGGCTGGATCATGGTGCATGGGTGCCTCTGATGTTCATGTATCCCGAGGTTGACATCCCTGTTTGTCAGCTCTCTGTTCAATCGCACTTGGATGGAGCATACCACTACGAATTGGGACGAGCATTGGCTCCTCTGAAGGATGAAGGTGTACTCATCATTGGTTCTGGAAGTGCAACACACCCTTCGAACAGTACCCCTCATTTTTATGATGGAGTTGCACCTTGGGCTGCAGATTTTGATCGCTGGCTTGAAACAGCTCTAACAAATGGAAGGTAACCTCACTAGTCACTAGTCCTCGGGTCTTTTTTTATTGAAATTCTACATGTACAGAATGTTGTGTGCACTGATATGGCACGATATTATACACGTATTCATAATGTACTTGACTGTGAAATGCTATGGTGCTCGCGGCGTAGCACATCATCTGCACCTGTTCTGTGTGCGAATCTTGCCTTTTTTTTTTTTCCATGATGCTTTATAAGGTAGTAAGTGGAAACCTCTCAGGAATGCTGTTTGACCTGTAGTCTGTCTGAGTCAATCTTTATTGTTCTTGTCTTGACTGTAAACTATAATGTCATTGGTTCTTTCATGAGTACAAATTTAGCAACTCAATAAGAAGCATTTTGGTGAGCATGGTGATTAAGGCTCTGAGGATATGCTTCTCATGGACTGCATTATAAACAATTTCCCTTAAGATTTGATGAAAAACCTTACTACCGAAACATTGGTCTTTGCTACGAGTATGTAACTATGATTTGCTCTGTTTTCAGGTATGAAGAGGTGAATAAATGTGAAGCCAAAGCACCTAACTGGAAATTGGCGCATCCATGGCCAGAGCACTTCTATCCATTGCATGTAGCCATGGGAGCCGCCGGTGAAAACTGGAAGGCAGAGCTCATTCATAATAGCTGGGATCATGGCACCATGTCATATGGCTCCTACATGTTCACATCCAGCTGATGTTCACCTTGTTAGTTGTTACACTATTGTTGTGTTTTTTTAGCACATTGATATTCTCTTCAACAATGCAAATTATGGGATTATACCTATTAATATGGGACCTACGGAGTAGCTTGTAAGTTTGTTCATAATGAATATAATTGGCTCAAAGAAACCTATGTTGAAGACTTTACTTACACTAATGAGTAATGACCCTGTTGAGTCACTACATATGAGGTCTAATCATACTAAATCTATGGTCATGAATAAAATTAAATTTTGATTGAAACATTACATAATTAGATGACTTTGATCCAATTTTGGACCAAAAAAAGGTATTTTACATTGTTTTTTTTTTTTTTTAATTTTTTTTTTTTTACATATTTTCCTTTGACCACAAGAATAAAGTATTAAAATATTGTGATTTATACGGGAAAAACTGATCAAGTAAGATTTCTTATTTTTTAATTTTTTTTATGTTTTTTAATGTTTTTTTTATTTTTTATTTTTTTTTGAGTTGGAAGAATAGTTACTTGTCTACTCATTAATCCAATAAAAAATGATTTCACATGAAAACGCATTGAAACCCATTAATATTAAAGATTATTTTAAAAAAAAACATCAAAAGAAAAAATTAAAAATAATGCTACCTCCTTTTCATATTTTTTGTAACTTTGGAGTATTATGTGTGATATATAGGCCACGTTTAGTAAATGACTTTTTGGTTAGTTTTTGGCTTTTTTATGTGGTCAAACAGCTAAAAAAAGTGTTAGGTAATTGGCTTTTCATTCAGCGAAAAATCTGGCTTTTAAGCCAAAATGAAAAAGCTGCTTTGGGTTGCTTTATTTTGTTGGTTTTTAGCTTGTTGGCCCACAAATTCTCTAATAAACAACCAACAACTAAATTTACCAAACACTTTTTTAAACATCCCGCTTAAACAACCAATTTCAAAAGTCATTGGCCATGTTTGATAAATGGTTTTTTTGTTAGCTTTTGGTTTTTTTATGTGATCAAACAGTCAAAAAAAGTGTTTGTTAATTGGCTTTTTATTCAGCGAAAAAGTTGGCTTTTAAGCCAAAATGAAAAAGCTGCTTTGAGTAGCTTTTTTTTTTTTTTGTTGGCTTTTGGCTTGTTAGCCCACAAATTATCTAATAAACAGCAAACAACCAACAACTAAATTTACCAAACACTTTTATAAACAACCGGCTTAAACAACCAATTTCAAAAGCCATAATGAAAAAGCTACTTTGAGTAGCTTTTAAGCCAAAATGAAAAAGCTGCTTTGAGTAGCTTTTTGTTTGTTGGCTTTTGACTTGTTGACCCACAAATTATCTAATAAACAGCCAACAACCAACAACTAAATTTACCAAATACTTTTATAAACAGCCGGTTTAAACAACCAATTTCAAAAGCCATTATAAACAGCCAAACATTCCAATTAGTCAAACAAGCCAAGTGAACCAACCAACCGCCAACAGTCATTTGCCAAACAAGGCCATTATAAATAGCCAAACATTTCAGCTGATCAAACAAGCCAAGTGAATCAGCCACCTACCAACCGCTATTTGCCAAACAAAGCCATAAAATATTTCAAAGTTGCAAAAATTATGAAATATTAAAAATATTAAAAAAATCAACGTCGAAATGAATGAAGTGTGAAAACTCAACGCAATATCGAAAAGGTCAGCTTATATGTCATCATCTCCTTTAGCTATAAAACTATGACTCGACAACGCAAGTTTGGCAACCCAAATTACTCTTCTAATTCATATCTTTATTTCTCCTTATTTTCAACCAAACCCAAATTTCATCATCTTCTCTATTTCACATTTCTTCTCTTCACAATCTTTTTATTAGCCAATTATTCAATAAAAAACGACAAAAATGGGCGCCGATAAAATAAACCAGACGTTTTATTTATCGCATGGTTCACCAACGCTTTCTATCGACGATTCGTTACCTGCTCGACACTTTTTACAGAATTGGAAAGAAAAAATATTTGATCAAAAACCAAAATCTATTCTCATTATTTCAGGTCACTGGGAAACAAATGAACCAACTGTTAATTCTGTTGATGTTTCTGATACAATCTACGATTTTTACGGCTTTCCTGCTCCCATGTATAAGGTAATTAATTTTATTTCTTTCATTATATTTCTCTTTTTTGTCTATTGTTTAGAAATTTGGAATATCTTTTTATGTGAATATTTGTGGAATTGCCGTCTTTGTTGAAAGGAATATGTTACACGTAACCTTTTTGGAATTTGAAAATACTTACTCCGTATTATAAAATTTAAGTATTGGACCAATGGTAGTATAGAATAAGACGTGGTGTTGTACATTTTTTTTTGGTGAACAATTTTGAACATGATATTTCATTTGATTTGATGTATTAGAGTACTCGTACTATTTTAGTAAACATATTTAGTTCGTAGTTGGTAGAACGTTGGAAATAGTTTTTTCTAGAAAGTTTTACTTTTACATGTAATAGTTAACATTGTTTATTAGTCTAATTTTGTTTGGTTGATCAACTGTTTATGAAAATTTCCAAAAGTAAAATTCTCAAATAATTTGTTGAAAATCTAATTTCATAGGAAGTTCAAATTTGTTCGCCAATAAAATAAAGTCCAAAATAAAGATACAAACTTTGGAATAAAAATTCAAGTTGGGTCGAGATCCTCGATAATGAGGATAAGATCTTTTCTTGTTCATCAACTCGAACTTCATTCTATAAATGACCTTAAATAATTGCTACTTTGATTATACGAAGTATATATTTTCTGAAATGATATGCTGTATGATTTTGAGGATTTATAACAAAATCAAGCATCGGTCTACATTTTTTTTTTTTTTTGAAGGAAATCGATCTGCATTATTAATGCTTAATAATTCTTAATCTTTCTTTTTAATCTTCTTATATACAACCTTAACAGTCACAGTTATCATTTTCCTCAAAATAATAATATGGGTGGGGAATGTTCTCCTTTTCTTGTTCCAATAAATTTAGAGTAAAATAATTTTCGCAGAAATTTGGTGGGAATGTGATAACAAATTAATAATGGTGGTGGTAGTCCAGGCCAAAAGAAATGAATAATTGAAGTTGGTCGGTCATTGCATTATACTACCTCCGTTTTTATTTAGTTAACACCTTTTTTTTATCACGTTTGTCAACGCATTATTTTAACGATTAATATCTCTAATTCTCGACACATAAAAGTTGATATCAATAAAATATACATTGAGACAATTCAAACAAGATCTCACTTGACTATGTTTTATCGTAGGTATAAATCACAAAAATCTATCAAAGTATAGTTTGTGAATAATATAAAAGTCAAATGGAATCAACTAAAAAACAGAGGAAGTATCTTTTGGAGATTTGGTGAGATTTTTTTTTTTTGTTAATTTCTTAGTTTCAATTGTTATAGTTTGTACGTAACTTTGTTTAGAGTGCACTCCTACAAACATTTGGTGAGATTTGAGACTTATGAGTTATGAGTCATGACTCTAAGGTATTATTCGTGTAAAGTGTGACATTCAACCAATTGCTATCCTACTAATAATTCTATAAACAATTGGATTTTAAATAGTACACACATTAATTTGGAGGATTTGATTTTGTATGAGAAGCCAAACTACCAAGAATTTTATAAATGATGTGTGATTTTGTCATCATGCACTTTAAAAAGGCGCATATGTCATTATGCAAATAAAGGAAGGCGCAATATGCTAGTGTTAATAACATCAACATTTTTACCGGTTCACAGCTCAAGTATCCTGCTCCCGGGGCTCCAGATTTAGCAAAGCGAGTGCAAGAGATTTTGACAACCTCTGGAATCAAGCGCGTGCACATAGACAAGAAACGAGGGCTTGACCACGGTGCATGGGTGCCTCTAATGCTTATGTACCCTGAGGCTAACATTCCTGTTTGTCAGCTCTCTATCCAAATGAACAAGGACGCTACGTACCACTATAACATGGGCCGAGCATTGGCTCCGCTTAAGGAGGAAGGTGTTCTCATCATTGGTTCTGGAAGCGCCACACATAACTTGAGGGACCTCAGATGGGGTGCTAAAGATGAAGAAGTCGTTCCATGGGCCGGCGAGTTTGATAAATGGCTTGAGGATGCTTTGATCAGTGGAAGGTATGTATTGTTCTAGGCTTCTTATCTGCTTTATTCATCTCGAATTAATAGTTCATGTTGATTGATTGAGTAAATTTAGGAATGTTAGCTCGAGTTTGAAAGGACTTACTAGTAAACTTGAACTATAGCTTTTAGCTTACGGGGTTATTGGGATAATGTGACAAATTGATATTATATTTGGTAAATGTTTTGTACATTGAATTTATGGTTCTGCTTTTCAAATGTTGGTGGTGTTATTAACTTGGAAGTGTTATTAGTCCACTGTAATACTATTGTAATTAGACCAATGTTGATGTGATGATTTTCTCTCCTTCAAAAAACTTTGTAGGCATGAAGATGTGAATAACTTCTTACAAAAAGCGCCTCATGCAAGAAAGGCACATCCATCACCTGATCATTTCTACCCGTTGCATGTAGCCTTGGGCGCTGCCGGGGAAACTACGAAGGCGGAGCTCATACACCGCAGTTGGAGCCTCGGTACCTTATCCTATGCCTCCTACAAGTTTACCACCCCAAACTAAGTTTAATCCTCAACTGTCACATTTTATTTTGACATGTACTATTAGTTTGCTCCTTGCTTCATGTTTTTTTAATTTAATTTACGTGTCCAGTGTAATCTTTCTTCCAATGACCAGTACAGTTGTACAATAATTTGTAAGTAACACTTATGTGAGCTAAATGCTACGTAGTATAAAATTAATTACTTCCTCCGTGGTTTAATAAGTGTTACACTTATCAAATGCGGCCGTGTGTAAATAAGTGTTACATTTCCTGCCTAGAATGTGAATCCTTAGTTTGTATTGCTATGTAAACAAGGTTTATATACAACCTAAGCCAAGGGCCTAAACTTAGCCCATTGTCTCGGAAATATCCGTCGTCTTCACATAAGACGGACGAATAATACCATCTTGAATGGCATCACGAACATAATGACAATCGACCTCAATATGTTTAGTGCGCTCATGGAAGACCGGATTTGAGCGATGTACAACGCCGACTGACTGTCACAGAATAAGCTCATTCACTACAAGAAAACAGCTTGATTCCGACGGAAAAAATCCGTCGGAAACATCGGGAATTCCGTCAAAATATGGTCTTCCGACGGAATTATGTTGAAATTAGTCTGTCGCAAAACTCTTTGTAGGAAATTCGACCTTTTCCGACGGAATTTCCGTCGGTAGGCTAGTTTCCGACAGATTTATTTCTGTCGGCGCTTTTTTGACTTTAATTGAAATTCCGTCGTAATTTTCTGACAGAAATTTCCGTCGGAGTTGGAGAGGTTTTCCGTCGGAAAAGTCAATAAAAAAAATAAAATAAAAAACAGCCCCACCCCTAACCCTTACCCCACCCAGATCCACCACTGCCCACACCCCTGCTCACCACCCTAACCCAGCCCCACCACCAACCCACACCACCAGCCCACCCCCTGCCCCCCTACCACGCATACCCCCCTACCCACCGTAAACCACCCACCTCCACCGTAAACCACCCACCTCCACCCCGAAAACCACCTACCACCACCAGCCATCACCAATAATTCGAAAACCCACAAAAATCACACAAAAAACAACCAAGCAAAAATAAATCAACAAAAATAAACTCAATTTAAACAACGAAATCAAACATTAACCACACAAAATCGAATGTAACCCACAATAATAATAAAAAAAACAAACCAAATTAATAGAAAGAAAACGAAGACATACCTTCACTTCCACCTCCAAAACCTCAAATTTGGGTTTATATGGTTAAATTTAACCATAAAAATTCGAGATCTGGAATTTTTATGGTCGAATTTGACCATAAACACCATAATTAATCATTTTTTGACGACCACCAGCCCACACTCCACCGTTTGTTGTCGAAAATTCGAGGAAAAAGGAAAAAAATCAAGAAGAAAAACAGAACGAAAGTGGAGGAAAAGAGGAAAGAGAACGAAAAAGAAAAGAGAATAGAGAAAGGGAAGGAAAAGAGGAAAGAAAACGAAGGAGAAAGTAGGAAAACGAAGGAACAGAGAAAGAAAGAAGGAGAAAGAGGAACAGAGAAAGAGAAGAAAAGAGGAGAGGAGAGAGAAAGAGAAGGAGAAAGGGGAAAAAGAGTGGTAGAAGTGAGAGGGGGGGTTTGGGTTTTAAAGGGTTTTGTTATTTATTTTTATTTTTTTAATTAAGATTCCGACGGAATTTTAATCCGTCGGATATAATAATTTCCGACGGAAAAATCCGTCGGAATGTGTATATATTCCGACGGATTTCCGACGGAGCTGTTGAGTTCGTCGGAAATATCCGACGGAAAATAATTCCGTCGGAATTTCGTGTCCGTCGGAACCCTTCTGTCGAAAATAGGCTATTTTCTTGTAGTGATTGCACGTGGATGTGCCACGCCCAAACTACTAATAAGTAGAGACTTCAACCACTTTAGCTCTGAAGTAACCGCTGCCATAGAATGGTACTCTGCCATTGTAGAAGAGCAAGAAACAGTGTGCTTTTTCTTGGTTTTCCAAGAAATCGAAGAGCCACCAAGAAACACCAACCAACCAGTAATCGACCGTCTCGTCAAAGGGCAAATAGCCCAATCTGAGTCACACCAACCTGTCAAATGCAAATCACAATCCGAGCATAAAAAGAATTCCCTAGCCTGGACAACCCTTCAAGTAGCGTACTGTACGAAGAGCTACATCCAGTGTTCTTATCGAGGTTGTTGCATAAATTGAGTCAAGATATGAAAAGTGTAAGCTATATTAGGACGGGTGAAAGACAAATTGATCAGACGATCCACAAGTCGTCTATACACCTCGAGATCATCAAGAAAGGCACCCTGAGATTGAGCTAAATTGTGATTTTGCTCAATTGGAAATCCGGCCAGTTTGACACCTAACAAACCTGCTTCTGTAATAATATCAAGAGTATATTTATTGCGTTGACATAAGAAAATCCCCTCGGGACTCCTAGCAACCTCAATCAACACACCCTAATCTTTCATGTGAAAACAATAACTCAAATAGTTTTTAAAAGCAGAAATTGCAGAAGCAGAATTGCCAGAGATCAATAAGTCATCAACATATACCAAAACAATGAGATGGATATTCCCTTGATTCATAGTAAATAGAGAATAATCAAAATACGACTGCTTAAAACCGTACCTTTTGAGAGAGCCGGACAGTTTGGCAAACCAACAGCAAGGTGCTTGATGTAGACCATATAACGACTTCTGTAGACGGCACACCATACCTGGTTTGCTACCATGAAATCTGGGAGGTGGCTTCATATATACTTCAATTCCTCATCAAGATCTCTATGAAAAAAGGCATTGTGAACATCCATTTGATGCAATTCCTAAATTTTCGCAGCAGCGACAACTAAGAAAGCACGAACTGTAACCATGTTGGCCACGAGAGCAAACGTCTTTTTGTAGTCAATACCTTCAACTTGATGGTTACCAAATATAACAAGACGAGCTTTCAATCGTTCAATAGTGCCATCAGAATTATACTTGATTTTATATACCCATTTGCATCTGAGAGCCTTCTTTCCCGGAGGTAACTCTTCCATTACCCAAGTCTCATTATCCTCCAAAGCCGAGATTTCTTTTTACATAGCCTCTCTCCACCCTAAATCAGTCATGGCTTCTTTGAAATTACGGGGCTCATGACAACTGTAAGAAATATACGGTGTCGCAAGGAAAATTTGTCACAATACACAAAATGTGCTATAGGGTAGGGAGTACCTGAGGAGGATGGAGTAGGTGAACTAGGAGGAATCGTTGCTTGTACAGTATATGCTACATAATCTCGATGCCAGCCCGGTGGACGACGTTCACGTTGCCCGCGCTTAAGATCAAGAGAAGGCATTGTATCCTCGTTGCTAGCAGCCTAAAGCCCACACTCAAGGGAGCTGCCAGCAGCATTGCAGCCCAGAGAACACCTGCCATTATCAGCGATAAAGAGGCTGCTAGGGACAACATCAGTACCAGCAGTAGTAGCCTCCGTAGGCTGGCTGCAGCCACTGTCATTTGCCGCAAGGGGGTTGCGGGGTACACTACCAGCAGCTGCCCCTTGCGTATCCAACATAACAGTGGCAGCATGTTCGGTTACCGGGACATGAGCCGCTTTGCTGACCTCCAAAACCGCCTCCAAATCATCCAAAAAATCTATGTCAACTCTTACATTATCCTCATATGTTTGGTTCCTTTCTACATTATTTTCAGAACCAACATTCAAGTCCTTTACACAAGCAAAGGGAAATTCATTCTCATAAAATTTCACATCACACGACACAAAAATCTCACTCGTCTCAAGGTCGTATAATTTCCACCCCTTTTTACCATGAGGATAGGCTAAAAAAACACACTTTCGACTTCTAGGTGCAAATTTATCTCCCTTGGCTTTTTTATTATGTGCAAATTAAAGCAAAGAGAGCTAAAAACACATAACTCATCAAAACTAGGTTCTCAACCAAACAAAATCTCATATGGTGTCTTGTTTTGCAACAAACGAGAAGGAGTCTGATTCATCTAAACCGCCCTAAGAACACATTCACCCCAAAAACCAATAGGCAAATTCCCTTGAAACATCAAAGCAAGCCCCACATTTAAGATATGTTGATGTTTTCGCTCGACACGACCATTTTGTTGGGGAGTCCCAACACAAGAAGTTTGAAATATATGCCATGTTCACTAAAATATGGAAGCATGCATTTGAATTCAGTTCCATTGTCACTCTTCACCAATTTGACAGACATACCAAATCGACAATCAACCATAGAAAAAAAAGAACAAAATGTGGAATAAACTTCTGTTTTAGAATTCAACAAATAAACCCAAACCCCTCTTGAATAATCATCAATCAAAGTTAAAAAATACTACTAGAAAATAGGCCATTTTCGATGGAAAAATTCTATCGGAAACACCCTGTTTTCTGTCAAAAATCGTGTTTTCGACGGAATTCCGTCGGAAAGCATTGTTGTAAAAGTTTTTGTAGGAAAATCGACCTTTTCCGACGAAATTCATGCGCCGGAAGAGATTTTTCGGCCCGAAAAAGTCCGCCGAATATTGTTGGAAATTGCTGACGAACTCATTCCACCGGAAATTTCCAAAATCCTGTAAAAAAATTAAAAAAATGCCCGCACCACCCCACACCACCACCAATTTCCACTGCCAAACCACCACCTCCACCCACAACACCGCCACTAGCCCATACCGCAACAAATAAAAAAATTAAAAACACTCCTCAAATATTCCCCATAACCACCACCCTAGTCGACCCACCACAACCCACCTAAACTTAAAATCGACCCAGATCCACCCACCAAAACCCACCTACACCTAAAATCGATCCAGACCCACCCACAAAAACCCACCTAAACCTAAAGCTGACCCTAACCAGACCCACCACAACCTAAAACCGACCCAAACCCACCCACCAAAACCCACCTAAAACCGACCAAACCCACCCACCAAAACCCACCTAAAACCTAAAACCGACCAGACCCACCCACCAAAACCCACTTAAAACCTAAAATCGACCAGTCCCACCCACCACAACCCACCTAAAACCTAAAACCGACCAGTCCCACCCACCACAACCCACCTAAAACCTAAAAACGACCAGACCCACCCACCATAACCCTCCTAAACCTAAAACCGACCCAGACCCACCCACCACAACCCTCCTAAAACCAGGACGGACCACCATCACCATAACCTAACTTTTTTTTTTTTTTTTTTAT